TCGGATAGCTCAGTGACTGTGAAACTGGGTGACACGAGATCGAAACCGTCAGGGAGCATCAGTTCCCTCAAGATTACAGGTACACCTTGCTGACGAGTGCCAATTAGCACGAAACCCGGATCCAGGGTTTCCTGTTGACTACCTCCAACCAACATCTAAATCTCAATACATAGTGCCCACAGTGTCGAGTCACCTAGACTGGTGGCCACATTGCAACATGATCGATAGCATTCGATCTGCACTAATAAGGACTAGACAAGCATGACAGTGATCACCACCCACCGATCAATCAATTGTGACAGAATGACCAAATTATATTATTCGTTTTCTTATTAAGATACTCCACACAACAACAACAACAAAACAATTTTCTGATGCTCTTTTCTGATTATCATAGTTTAACAAAACGTGCATCTGATGTTTTGAAAGGTTATGAAGTTTGTAGATATTTATTAGATAATAATTGTAAAGTAATCAATTAAACATGGTAGAGAATGAAAGTTTATAATTTAACCGGCATGAAAAGAAAACCTTAACTAGTAAAATGTTGTGAATTGGAATACTCATTTCTAGTGGTTCTTATCTAATGTAAACTACATCATTTTGACTGACGCCGTCTATTTGCTGAAATATTCATGGAATCACGTAAAGCTGATTACTGAAATATCGATTAATTTATTATCACTCTTCACACTAATCTAATCTTCATCTTAGTATTGTGAACATTTAGTGGTTACAACTGTCTAAACGCAGATTTTCAAATGCATTAGTTATACCGTTGCTGCTATCTTGACATGGTGGTTGAGCTTGCCTATCGTAATGAATCAATCGAACTATACTAGCTAGAACAATCATTCCTCAAAGTCTTACAATGTCAGACAGGTCGGTTGAAGAACGGTATGACTAAAAGCAGCAAACTCAAGTTCCGAAAGTGAAGTCCTACTGCAGACTATACAGAGATGTGACGACAGTAATGTGATTCCTTCTGACCACCAGAATTACAATGATGGCGCCTTCCCACAAGGAGGGGTGTGATTAGAAAATATTGACCCTAAAAATACACACCTTGCCTTATTGCACGGATTTCTGTCTGCGGCAGTGAGGTTTCCACAAGTACGGTGCTCACACGTAAATTACTCTCAAAATGTGGTGTGTGTGTGACCGACCTCAAGCAGTTGTCACTTGAAAACTTCGGTCACACTCTCAAGTCACTAAGAGCACTCTCAACCAAATTTCCCTTTCGAATACCTCGAGAAGAACCCTTTCACTGTGTGTGCAACCGGTAAATGATAACCCCCCTCATACCCCTAACAGCACTCAAGATCTCTGTATTCATAATCAATCTCCCTCTTCAATTCCTTTTATTCCTACTACGTCGACTTTCAATATTTAACTTTCTCTTTTGACTTTCTCCTCAAGCGTCACCATAGCCGACAATTCTAGTGCGCAAAACACTGTGTCAGGTCTACTGAGACCTCGCTCCAAACTATACATTGTAGCTTTCAACTTATGCGTACTGTGTCAAATTGGCAGGCGTCCTGCGCTAAAACCGTGGAGTCCCGTACCATTGATTTATGCTGTGTCTCCGAAAAATGAATAAAGGGTACTAATGCGGTCATTCACCTGACCTCCTCTTGCCAAGACGGAGAGCCGACGATATACATCCCCATGTTTCTGGCAACCCGATGGCTATTTCTCACGGACTGGCAGGTGCAGGCATTGCACTGAGTACGAGGGCAGAACAACCACTATTAGAATGGATCCCTGCTAACAGTCGACAATGTTCTGTTCGACTAAACGGCTTCGTAAGGACTCGGAAGGGGTAGGGACACGTGTCGTTGCCTTTTTGTCGTATCTGCCTACGCTCTCACTGACTGCAGCTCAGATGAAGTGAAAGATGACTTTTACAGAAAGCTATCTGAACTTCTTCATGAAGCTAAACGCTCGGACATAGTACTCGTAGTAGGTTACTTTAATGCCCAGGTAGGTTAAGCCAAACAGAAAGATATTTAGCTGGGTATTTTAGTATCCCGACTGAAAAAACAGATAATGGTGATCGTCTGCTGCAACTGTGTCCAGACGATCGTTTATTTTTAGCAAGCACTAATTTTAAGCATAAGGAGAGACATTATCTAACATGGTGACCCCCCGCACCAAACCAACGAACGGACTCAAATAGATCATGTTGCCATCAGTCATCATTGGAGACGCTCGATGGAAGACTCGCTCATTCTGGAATACCTGTTTGGACTCCGATCATGCCGTAGTACAAGCATGCATTTGCTTGCGCCTCGACCATTAGATTGAAACTCAGTGACGAGAAAACCAAAAGTAGATCCCAGGAAAAACTGAGGTCACACTTAATATTTCCTGAAAACGGGGCTGACCCAGATGTTGCTTGGAAAGACATAGGAACAGCTGTAGCTTCAGACCTGGTCGTAGCTGCATCGACCACATATTCACCATTCGTCAGGTTCCAGAACACATTATTTATTTTAACACATAGATATTAGTACAAGGAGGCACCAAACACATATGTGTGAGGGCTGTGATACTGCCCGGATGCCCAGACTGAAGCAGGTGGTTTTCCTAGGGGACCACTTCTCGAGCCTTCGACCTGAAGGTCTGATCCACAAGGCAGTGGAGCATTGTAAGGAGATGCAGTCTCATGGAAGCCGGTGACCAATAATTGGTTCATACGCCATTTGTTCCCGAAGGATACTGGAGCCCATGTGCACCATTGAGTTAGAATCCGGTTAAAGAGCTGGACATTCTCTTTTCGTCCTCTCATTTTTGTAAACAACACCCATGGTGCGAGGCAGTGAGTAGGACTTCCCTGGCAGAGGCTATATACGTGTGGACGTGTGAGAGTATTTCGAGAGGGAGAGCGGACTCCTCCCACTCTCAGCCGTGCCAGGGCATTTGGGGGCTTATTGGCATCCGACAACGATAGATTTCTTGACTTAAAAGTAGTATCTGTCATTAAAAGGTGTTGTTGCTTCATGACTGGCTTGCATCAGCACCTGAACTAAGGATAGGGAGAGTCGACTACTTCACTTATCTTATAACTCTGGCCAGCCCTAATGGGTTGGTGTCTGACGAAATCTCTCCACGGATCCAGGAAGTTCGTTTGGCTTTCGCCAATTTACGTCACCTATGGCGGTTGTGAGGTATCCGTTCATCAATTACTGGACGAGTATACCGCGAAGCAGTTCGTTCTGTTCTATTTATGGCTGCGAAACGTAACCATTAAGAGTAGAAGATACTCGTAAGCTACTAATATTTGACCACAGATACCTTAGAAATATTGCTCGCATCTGCTGGGATCACCGGGTAAGTAATAGTCATATTAGACTCACAGTATTAGGGAATGATGATGGTAAATCAGCTGATAAGGTTGTCAACCTTCGTCGACTGAGATAGTTTGGCCACGCGTTACGTATGCCCGAACACTGATTACCACGACACGCAATGCCGACTAGTGTTGGAGATGGTTGGAAGGAAGTTCGGGGCGGCCAAACCGAAATGTGGCATCAGTTCTTGAAACCACTAACTTCTGGTCTGAATCATGTTGGTAGATGCAGACTACTTGGTTAGGGTCCGCGCGACTATCGTAGCCAATGGTTGGAGACTCTTGGTGATATGGCTCAGAATCGATCACAATGGCGTCGGTGTATACACTCTCTGCCTTCCCTTAAACTAAGAGATTAAAATCGCTTCATATCTTTCTTTTTATAAACTAATTCTTTCTTCTTGTATTATGTTCTTACATGCAATCTTTTTTCTACATATTACCACCACTGAATTAACTACTTCTATGAATTCGGCGTTCATCTTGTTATGCTAATGAGGTACGGCAACTTGGACTGATGCATATGTGTGCCTGGTCCTACGTGGAACCTGTGCACAACCAAACTGAGAGTTGTCACTTTTCACAATGACCTACTTCATTGCCCCCGCGTTGAAATCATTACTGTTTATCACTCAACACAATGAAACAGATTTATCTAAATTTCAACAGCGCTGGAGGGGAAACGATGAACGAAAAACAAGTGGACAAACAACTGTTCAATAACACGATCGAACCATTAATGATAAGATGCAGCTGCGTTGCTGCTAGCAGTTTTAAGCAGACTAATGTACTACTCATATGAAACTATTCTTAAACCAATCTCACTAATATATCGATTCATTTTCATTACTGGGTTACATTGTTGAATTTTATTAAATTCAAGGACTGATCTAAACTAGACCACAAGTGAAGCGCTAGAACCCCATCTTGTCCTAATTCAGGACTTCGCATCAGTGAGAACCCATGATCCTGCACGCATGGATTGAACCCGAGATCTTTAGTCTCACACGTACACGCTTAACCTCTAGATCAATGAGTCGATATCCAATTTATGTTTCGCAACTCAATCAGTAGTTCGTGATTTATACTATACAGAAAACTGGAGTTTCTTTTGTAATCTGAACTTGGTACTACAATACACTCAACTAACTTATAAGTTATGCATCAAGACAGGAAAATTACGAGACAACTGTAATCCAAACCGTTATTTTTTTAAACGAAAACTAAGAAAAACTATATAAACGTACTATTTACCTGTTTAAACTGGAATTGATGAAAAAACAAATAATTTCTTTTTGCCCATTTAACATTTCCGTTAATCCAATAACTTAAAATAATTTTTAATAGTTCAATTTATGAATCAATTGAAGCTACACCACCATAGAAAACCTGGAAGCGATGGATAGCCGTTTTACCCTAGTATGGGACCCCTCAGTATTGCGCACATTCACGATCCCGCCTGGTGGGATTCGAACCGAGGACTTATTAGTCTCTAGACCACTGAGCTGATCATGAATGCGCACTGCTGAAGAGTACCATACTACGACGAAACAGCCGTCTAGTGATCTCAAATTTTCCATAATGATCTAACTCCAATGAACTCATGATCTCAACTATTAAAATGACTATAATATCCACAAAACCCCTTCTGATATTTATTATTATTATTATTACTGTTTTATCAGAAAAGCACAATTCAAAATATGAATAAAACAAAGTATTCCAAAAATATTCTTATGTTAATAAGATAAAGAAATAGGTGGATATTATCTCAGTGAATGAGAAAACAAAATAAGTAGAAATTACCATTTAACAAAAAAAACCCACCTGAATATCACTTTTGAGAGAGATATAGAGATAACACAAGAAAAATGATGAAAAATGATACCATGATAGTATGAAATGAAAATATTTATTAGTCAACTCTACCTTATATGACACAAAAAAAATCTCAACAAAATGGAGAAAAAGCGAAAAACAAATGTGAGTGTTGTGACAGAATTATGACAGTGTTTAGTAAATCAACCTCATTCTCATCATCGACTTTATCAACAATATAATACTTAACACCAGAAAAATGGGGACCATAAGAATGGAGACCACATAAGTGTACCAGCTGCTAAACCTAATAAAGCTGCATCACCAAAACCATAACCACATCCACAATAATAACCATGTCGACAATGACATGGAATTTCATTTCCATCACCAAGGATAATTGTACGCGATCCATCAGGATGTTCAATAATCTGTCGTGGCATTATATATTCACCATCTGAACCACGGTATATCATCTATGGGAAATAATTAAATTATAGACATTTCAATGCATTCATATATTTGACTGAGTAAAAAATAAAACAAAATAGATCATTCTAAGTAATCAACATAAAATAACTATGGTTAGAAATTTATATGTTGTCACTCTACAAAAATGATCAATTTAATAATATGGTCCGATAACCTGCACAGAAATCAATAACTAACCAAAATTAATCGTGTTGGTGAGTAATCAAAAGAACACCATTATAGTGTAATTGCACATTGATTATAAGCAAAGATGGATAGTGGAATCTAGGACGCGCGTTTCGTCCTATTTGGGACTCGTCAGCTGGATGTACCTGCATCTCAGAGTTGACATTCACTCTGGGACTCGAACCCAGTACTGTTCGCTTCAAATGTCATCGTGTTATCTACTTAGCTACTGAGTGCTGATGCTTGTAAATTAAGGCAATACTCACAGTATGCACATATGCCAATAAGAGACTGATCAATTGCAGTTCTAAACAACAATGGGAAGATTCAAGTTAACAATATCAAGTGAATTTATGATTAACAATATTTTGGATAAGTAATATGTTATTAGTCTCAATGTTTCCCGAAAAGTCAATTTAATGTGGGATAATCTGTAGTACAGATGATAACTGTGGTATGATCGCATCAGAATTCATGTTTTTGGATGCCAGAAAGAGAGGCTATATAACACTACCATGAATACTTGTATTCCACAGATTATTTTGCAGGTTTAATTAAAGGTGTACTTAATTTGATGAAAATAATTCTTAAAACATCTATCAAATGCCTTTAACAAACATCTATTACACTTTAAGGTTATGTGCCAGTCCAAAAGTGAATGCGATTACCAGTAGTATGAGGTGAAGATGTATTGATCATTACAAACTATCAACAAGAACTGAATGAACAAAAAATAATGCGAAGGCAGATATCAGTCAAAACATTAACTAAATATTCTGTCGGCCCATGTTGTCTCAGTATATGAACTACTTTGACAGAACAGGAGGTTTATGTCAAAAATAAGGATATCATTTTAGCTTTTGTGTAAGTTTTATTTGCTCACCATAACAAAACATACTTCATATGCTGGTATACAATACCTTCAAGTCAAGTAAAATTAGCTTAAGTACATCCACGTTTCATAGTGCGGGGATTTTTCACTATTTAATTTTCTTTATTTTTGTTACGCTTGTGCACCATCATGAGTAGCAGATGAAATCCCTAGATAATTGTTGAAAGGGGAATTACTATTTATGGTATGTTAAAGAAACTGAAGATTCAGATTAATCTGACGTATTACCTGACTATGATGAGCTTATCAAAATCTTAAGAAACTTCATTTCATGTCACGTCATTTATTTATCAGGATTATCAAATAGTTCTATCTTGTCACCTATATTTGCTCTGAATCAGGTTCCTAAGCCTATCACTGATTTATTAACTATATGGTGTTTTAATCAACTACCTGTTAATTAATACTAGTTATTATCAAGCTCACTACTTTTTTGAAACGTCTTGTCGAGAATTAATTTGTGTAGACCAAGATACTGATTGCTTCTTTACCAAGAAAAATGACTTCCACTTACTGGTCATACAGCAATTTGCGTAAAAGTAAGTTACCATACTTTTCCTGATATTATTCGACTAATGGAGCGAAAAGAGGTGAAGCTCGAGCCTATTAACAACATTTGATTTGTAGATGTACTTATATCACTGTAACGAATTTCTCCAAGAACAACTTTTATATTTTATCAGTGAACGCCATGGGAAACTTGATTTTTATTTCCATTTATTCAAAGTAAAAACTGCATCTGCAGTGCCACTATGATTTTCATAAAGCTATACTGAAGATGCTCTCTATACCCATAGCAAAGGATTTTTCAATGAGGAACCAAGTCCATGGCGCAGTGACACTACCAGACACAAATTATATGTATACCCTTCCCATGTTAGGTTACAATATAAAGAAAATACAGGATTAACAGTATTCATTATGGACCTGTTGCTTACAGGTACTTCCCGCATTCCTCCAGAAGCTTGGTATAAAGGAACTGTGGTTTCAGCGGGACATGCGTATTGATAGTAGTTTGTGCCATCTGTATATCCTGGTGGTGGAGCTTCTGGAGGTGGCATACGAACTCGATAGCGAGGGATGGACATTCCTTTCACTTCGGATAAAGCAAGACGCCATACTACTGCATCATCAGGTGACTGGGCGCAGAAATACCAATTAGATTCATCTGTCCTGAGGCCGAAAATGCACTCGCTAGAACGATCTTTAGGTGGATCGATATTTCGCTACAAAAACAGAGAGATTAAAAAGATTAAAATTCAAAGAGTATTGTGATAGTTGGATTTTGAGTAACGAAATAGGTACTATAACGGACAGAATCGAAAAAGGTACTAATACAATATTGAAATGAACAAGGAATGTTCTAAGTTATCCATGTTTTGACAGGATGCCCAAAACGTATGGTTGGTTGTTTCTATATAGAAGAAATGCGTAAGAGACTATTTTCGACTATTTAGACGAAGATATTACTTGAGTCATTTTGTCAAAGACAGCCAGCAAGGTTTTGTGTTGCTTACAACATAATTATACTGTCTACTGAGTCCAGACCGTAATTGAATAACGTAAGCGTTTCAGCTTAACTCAAGACGTTTATAAGACTACATTTTTTCAACGTCCCCACCAGACGAAATTGGATTGCATACATTATTTATCATTGATTAATGGCATCTCCAAATACAGTGATATCAATTGCAAAGCAGTTCCAGAGAATATTCTGATGAGGATAACTTTGGGCAAAGGCTAAATGTGAACATAAACATACATGACGAGAACGTGGATCTAGCGAAATTAACTGATACATCTTGCAACAATTTCTAGTAACCGCATATCACTCTTATTGGGACGATGTCATCTAGTATATGTTCAAGGCAAAACTAATGTTGCCAAAATTAACTGACATAAATGATCGCTAAAAAGTGATGTCAATTGGACCAATCATAAAAAGGAGATATGAAAGAATGAGTCGTTACACGGAGAAAAAAGACATGAAATGTATACAGTTTTTGCACTACTAATGAGCTTCCCTGTATTCAGAATAAGTTACTGTTTTAAAATTAAAGAATGTTTGGTAAGGGAATTCATTAACGTGACTAAAAAGCATTTTTCTTCGGAAGCCTTTATATGAGTACAAATAACTGTCCAACTGCCTTCACACTTCTATGTTATTAATTTGGACCCTACTAATAAAATCTACGGGTTCGTTGGTAGATAATGACTACACTGATATCGTAATCTTTCAGGAAAAAACGCTGTAGACTCCTTTCTTCAGTACACGCTGTGGTCCCTGTATGAACGCATCTTTTTTATTACCGAAAAAACTGTAGATGCCAATGTCTCTTTTTATCTCGAATTCTAAAAAAACACTACAATTAAATCAAAAACCATTTACCCAATCCCATTCTAACTTCCTATTGCATATTTGCTCTAGAGATAGCCAATTACAGTATTCTCATTAAAATTGCTCATAGATCTACTCACCTATCTATAAGTGTTTTGTCGATATCAAGAAATTTAAGTTAGATCTGGTATGACCTCGAAGTGTAGATATCAACCTGATTGATTCGGCAACATAGTTTAGTTTAACAGTGTCCGATAAATGAAGATACGCTACTATACAAGTCGTTTATGAAAAGTTAGCGGGTAAACGTTTCTCCAGAAAATGCGATTTCACAATCAAAAGGCAAATGAGCAAAGTTTTACCATTATTCCGTCCCTTACTACCGCTTAATAATATCATTTCAGCAACGTACTCAGAATCGACAAAATAATTTAGTCTACGCTACTAAGTTATGTAGAATTATACGATCTGTTAACTCATGAGCAACACAGGTTTCGAAAGACATTTATGCTTGATTAATTTATTAGTTGAGATAGAAAATTGAACAACAAGCAAAGATATCAGTTTGTTTGTTGACGTAATGTTCATGGATTTTATCAGTATATTTGGAAAGATATCTTACTCACGGTCCCCAGCTTTGGAATAACAAATACCATACAAGAATGGACAAGAAAATTTCTATGGCCAAGGATAGAATGAGAGTAAATGGGAACTGGTTAAAAACAGTGTACATAAAGGTACAACATTAGGTTTTTATATTGTCAAAAAATTACCAAGACTAAGTCATAGACACTTGTTTGCGGATAATGTCAAACTTTAAAAAACAATACTTGATGACAGTAATCATCATGATCTCCAAGCTGACTTTAACGAACTAATTAGATGGTCCAAAAATTGGGGTTTGGAGACTAATCCTAGAACAAACACTGGACAGGGCAACATAAACCGGTATGTCGCCGATCGCACACAGCTCCAAACGAGGCCTAGGAGTAACTGAGTCATGACTTAGAAGCAACTGTAAGTCGCAATGCACCAGCTCCCAAAGGTATCCAAGTGTTACGGTCACTTGGCCGAGCATTCGAATTTTTTGATTATATGATTTGGACTTCAGACCCCACCTAATGTGAGACCTAACTTGGAGTTGTTCGTCTAGTTCTTGCCTTACTAAGGATGCCACCACACTCGAGTGTGTTCAATGAGTGGGAACTAAGTTTATGACGAGTCTTTCTAAACTCTTCTACGATGAGTGATCACGACGCTGGAACCTTTCCTCATTGTGTAACGCGAGGTGACCTTACATTGGTTCTGTATCTTGAATAGCAATTTGAGTATCACCATATAGTACCTTTTTGATGCCTGTAGAACTAATAATTCTCGAGGCCACGGAAAGTTTAAAACCGCGATCAAATAAACTCAATGGGATTTCGTTTTCCGAATCAAGGATTCAATAGCTGGGACGCCGTACTTGACCGACTATTATCAGGCCTATTAGTGAATACATTCCAGAAGTATCATCTATACTGGGGAACAAGTTGCCAGAATACAGATCAACTAACCTACTCTATTCGTTCTGAAAACTGAAGACATCGACCCATAATTTCACAAACGCATACCGGGTGTTAGCCAGTCAAATAGGTAGGATGGAATATCTGCCGTGGCTTATCTGCACATCAAATTAATTGTTTTTCGTTTAACTCGATTTCGCAGATGTACGCCAACCTTAGTTCATATGATCTGTAGGAGTTAACAGACATCTACATGTAAATTCTCATAAAAAACCCATACTGGTAACCGGAATTAAATATTAGAGGGCTTCAACTTTTTGAAATACCAACCCTTATAATTATCTATAAGAACCACTATAGACGCAATATATTATCAGAGCTAACTTAAAAACATAGTGATACACCTAGGCTTTAGCACAAATTTCCATTAACTTACGTGACCAGATAGAATTTCTCTGCATATTCGTGGAACATTAATAGTCGCTTTCGCTACATAGTCATCCTTACTTTCAAAGTACCGCAGCTCACCATTCGCATAAAGTACTAGCCATGCCGGTTTCCAACGTTTTAAAAAAGTACCTTTGAAAATAAGCTAAATAATTCTATAACCCAAACCTACTGAGACGAAGAACAGAGTCGGCTTTCAAGATGTTTATGGATGATGCCATCACCAGCTGATCGCAAGTGAACTAAAACAACCACTTCCTAATTAGCCTTAAGTTTACACCAGTGGTTAAGTGTTCAATTAACAGAAAGAGAAAAAGTTTGCAAATTAAGTAAAAGATATCTAATGTCATACAAATATGTCGTACAGCGCAATCACGAAATTGGCTGCTGGAGAGAAACGTCCAACCAGTGGTATTTGGTTGTGTATCGAAGACGCCTAGTTATACGACTTACCCAACTCCAAGTATCGGTCAATGGTTTTATTCTTAGGGCCAGTAGTGTCATTAATTTGGTCTCTGTTGTAGTTTTTTCTCATTAGTAACAATGCTTTGCTGTCTTCAAAAACTAGGAAGGCCATACTCTCATTTCATGAAATCAACTCTCTTCAAACTAATTTCAAAAGATAATCTATAGCCGTCCTTCCACTTCAGCCATTGCTTCACGCCTTAAAAGTCCTACGAAATGCTTCCCAGAACAAAAGTCAGCTGAACTGCTCATACGCCAGTGCTAAAAACCTACCATAACTTTTGTCTATACCTCATCTGTTTATACATCACTTTGTTACTGTATTTCATCAACCAATCAAATCGCCTATACTTCATCGAACAGGAAATTGAGATTAGAACGCCTGCATTAAGCGCTTCTCCGTATGAGGAGGCAAGTGATCAACATAAATTGTCATTGCAATATCTCCTAAGGATACGTTTAACAAGTACTCTCAAGATAGCGAAGATATTTGGCCCAGGCAGATTGTTTAGGTCGAGCTATGCTCTCCAGGCCGAACAGTACAGCGGTAAATAAATCCTCAAAATAAATAGCTCTGCGAGTCTTCGACATTGGATGCTGACCACATTAGCTTTAATGGACTCACCTAGCTGAAGGCGCTCGGCCATGCATCCGCACCAGATCACGAGTGGGAACGCCGTGCCCAACAACTCCTGCGATCGCTACCCAGATTAGATCAGACGATCCTCGATATATTGATAGCTTATCAAATATATCTCCGAACCTCTTCGCTTCTTTTTTTTGATTTCACTCGGTGAGTACGATTCATATTAGATGTTAATGGTTAAAGTGTTGTCAAACGCCGAATACCTGTGGCATCTTCGTTGGTGAGCATAACGTGATCTGGCACACCAAATTGCAAACTGTGAGTCTGCTCCTTTCTGGAATTCAGTATATTATTGCCTTTTATTGATTTTTTATATATTGTGATATTTTTTCGGGTTTTTGGATATATATATCTAAATATATATTACACTCGTTCATTCTCGTACTTGATATTTCACCATGACGGAACAGACACTCAAGGTATTCAAGTTAAATACTATATCCCCAACTACATTTCAGCTAATGCCCTTCTGGCCAAACATCATCCAAGACTGGTTCCGTTACCCAGAGGTCGACTTCTACGAGCACGGCGTGAATGACACACGTGCACGATTCTTAGCAGTAGTCAGTGCACTACCGCGCGAATTCAACAGGTACGTGACGTCGAGCACGTTTGCTAGTGATGTTTTGAAACCCTACGAAACACTTAAACGATTTGTCATTAAACGCGGAGATCTTGTAGTGGCATTGGACCATAACCACACAATCCTCAAAGCTGAATACGGGATTACTCGAAAAATAGATATTCAATATTTAACGCGGAGAAATACCTGAGAATGGAGAAGGCGCGAACAGGGAATTGAATAGACTAGAGTTGATCGAACGGCATGGCTCGGCCATGCAGGCGTGGTCTCTGCTTCTATTCATATTAAATATATTGTTCTTTCTCTAGCCTAACCTTGTTCTACATCAAGTATTGGTAATTGATACGATACAGTGAGTTGGTGTAGCCGATGGTGTGACTTCCACGTAAGATCTTATAGATTAGGCAGTCATATCATGACAAATCCACAGATTTAGGATAAGGTCTATTATTAGAGCAGTACTAATATCATAGTAGACCATAAATTCTACATTGGTGAGCTCAACTAAAGAAACGCAACCTATTATCGTTAATCCTTATTTCCACCTTAACCTTCTCAATCGGTTTTTATTTTTGTAAACCCAGTATTCGTATAGTCCTTTGAAAAATGGTCACATATATTATCGTAATGTTATATCTATTAGTTCACATAACTTACTAGCTCAATCGATAATAAAAGTTGATCATCTATATGAACTTATTAGCTTTGATGGTTCGTTAACAAGCTTTAATAGCATTTACATGCTTCAGCGACACAGACTTGTTTAAACATCAAGCTCTAGCAAATATGACCTGTAAATAGCGTTAATATACATTAACTAACAATGCGATCAAGGACTAAATAGTTATCTGGATCTAATTCTCAATGTTCCTTCACTTAACACCTCATCCTGTTTTAAACTGCACTATCCTGTAATATCTTTTCTTCCGACCACTGCCTGCCTAATTTCATATTCTCGAGTTCCATTGCCAAACAACAAGGATGACACTTCTCCAAAAAATACGGTGAGTCCCAGCTATAAGTTTTCTGCAATCATAAGTTCATGTTAGATGGCTCATTCAATGGCACACACAGTTATCTGGATCCATTCGATCGTTCTGATCCGAGCGAGTGGCAAAAACGTCAACAGCATCAAGCACCCTGGAATTAATCGCCATACTGCATGTTTTATTCTGGATACTTTTGGATCATTTCTACTCCTCACGAATGGCGTTGTATATGTCGTCCACTGAATAATCTAATTTTCAAAAACAATCCAGGCGAGTTCAACTATTTCACTTAATGATTTTTTGTACTTAACATGTATATATTTTCCAGTTGCTTTTGCCATATATTTGTAAGTGTCCCTAGGCTAAATGCATTATCTTCTTACGGAATGTTTATAACGCGTCATATTCCTGCCTGAAGTTTCATCAGCAGTCTTAACTTTAAAATTATCTTTCTTATCATGTTCATTGTTTTCAAATTGTCATATACGTCAACAACCTGCACGTTAACCTGGCCCGTACATGCGTTGCACTATATCTTCATGTCTTCTAAATTTAGAAATCATTTGAATCACCTTTAACATTTATCAATAAACCCATCATAGTCGTTGTTGCTAATCGTATTTGAATGTATGGATTGGTTTATCATATTAGCAGCCCCAAATGCGAACATAGTTTAGATTATAAGATTAAAAATTTAGGTACTATCAACTGCACTAGTAAAATAACTAAATCCCTAGGCAGCTGTTGGCTAAACAAACGTTTAAAATCAAAACTCCGTAGCCTACTAGAATTAACACTAAACGAATCTTTATGAATTAATATTTATAATTAAATTAGGCGTCTCGGATTCTTTAACGTTACAAATTTCTGATTATTTCGAATCACCTAAAGCAACAATACCTATTTTTCCACTGATTAATCCTCAGTCAACACCATGACTAGTTAAACATAATAGTTTCAAGATATCGTCATAAAGCATTGTCATGACTTGACAATCACGTAATATGATTGATAAAACTAATGAAACTATTGACAAAATCGGTCAGCAAATTGACATATAATTATCACTAGTGTTGTTTTTCTTTTATCTTCATTCACTACAGATGATTACAGTATGTTTCTCTATCAGATGCTCACTCAGTAAGTATCTCGAAACCTTGTCAGTCCAATTGGAGGTTTAGCAACACAATATTGCATGCAAATAATCAGTATAAGCAGTCGAGCAAATCTCCTGCAAACTGAAAATATCAATGTCGAATTTACCCCAACACTGACAACGGTTCAAGCCATTATCATAGATGTGAGTTGGGAGTGTACTCCCCTTGGTTACAACTTATGTTCTTCCTGATAATCACATGAGCATCTCTCACTGTTAATCATGTTGTAAAAGCTTATTTAGCCGAATACATCCTGCAGCACCACATCACCTAGTAATATTGTAGTGAACAAGAACACGGGTGGGGACAAACGGATGTATTTAGCACAACAATTACAGTCTATCTCAACAAAATCTAAATACCATATAGTCAATCATCAATTTGCAAAATATTCATGCATCAAACCAAACTGGACTGTTTCTATTGCAAACACCAATCCATTGTCTCCCATTCCATTGTTCGTGCATTTTCTTACAAATTCAAATGTGTTCTCGCTCTACCTTTCTTGATCTTCGCCATCTTTTGCTGCCAGACATTACGTTCTTTTAACGCACGTTATATACTACTTATATCAATATAAGTAGCTCACACCATAATATGACACATCGGCCTAACTGATTTCAATAACTTATAACCACTATATCTCAATTAAATCGTATTCCGCCTTATGATAAACTGCATACTTGCAACTGACTTGTATGTATCATCAGCCGTCAGGTATAAATATGTATAAATAGTCTATGGCAACTCAGAACATTGAGTCTAGAGCATTTCTCTTACGAATACACTCATGTTTAACGATTTGTTCTTAGCTATCTGTCCAAAACTCATATAATTATCACTCATGTGTTGAAATTTTGTTTTAATAACCATTCATGTGTATTAGTAGTATTAATAAATTCTATCACGGTCAAGTAAAAATGAGGTTGAGAAAATCTCCCCGTAACTAAATAAACCGTATCAAACTAACTGGAACACTAGTTGGAATTCTCTACGGTATACTTTTGTTCCTTCAGTTAGCCTACTAATACAAATGCAATTGAAAATCAACTCATGGACAACTTACTAGCATAAACGTTATTTGATTTTATAATCTAAACCAAAACTAATACCAATATTAATATTTCCATAATATTGATTGATTTTAATATTTCTAAACACAAAATACATACTACCTATAAGTTAAGTTATTAACCAACGGCTATTAACAAGCATCGTTTTATTATTATTATTATTATTATTATTATTATTATTATTATTATTATTATTATTGTAATCCCATTTTTTATAGCTCAAATAATCTCCCAAATTTTCATTTCAAGCATGTTAAGCATGAAGGCAGATATTTTAAAATTATTACATGTATTCCCCGACCAGATGCTGCCGCCTTCTTTTTGATTTATCTTTCAGCTTGTCATCACCCAGGGGATTCTTACTAGTCTTG